TCTCTCTCTCTCTCTCTCTCTCTCTCTCTCTCTCTCTCCACATGCGGTCATTGCTTAAATAAGGTTCGGTTGTATTGATTGAGTTTTTGTCCGTTTGGCGAATGAATAGCCGAAAGTGAAGCGATCGCCAAACTGTGCGTCCAATTAATTCTGAAATCTTCTCTTCTGTTCGCAATGTTTTGCAAATAGTTTTTGAGTCATTTGTTAGGATTGTTGATCACAAGTGAAGGACAGGTATGCCTTGGATGGCACTCACAGTCTGCGTGCCGCCACTCCACCGATCTATTGGTACCGCCTTTTGATTGAACCACTGATTGAACCACTGGTGGTCATCAGAGTTAGTAAATCAAATGCAATGTCGGCTTTAAAAGGCAATGCTTTTGGTCTAAGAGGGAAATGCTTTATGTTTTAGTCGATCGGCCGGCGTTTGGGCTAATCTACAAAATTTGAACTTTAATTTAATTCAATACAAAATTGAATATAAGAGAGAATTTGAAATTATATTTTTATGTTAATATATTTGAGCCATAATTTTATGATAATTGAGTATCAAATGATTGCCATAGACTGACAATCATGCTATCGATGCCAACGATGTACTGATGCCTCTCAAGTCCTGACGTCGGCTTCACTTGACTTTACACCTCCTAATTGCTAATTCAATAAAGATGTTCACAACTCATGTCTTGTATAAGTTCTTTATGTTTGATTGACACTCACTTCAACCCAAGTTTGTCTTACTGTTTGAGAAGTGGTGCCAAGAATGCCATTCCTCACAAGAGAGTCATTCATTGCTATGAATTAACTTAGTTTTTAGTTTTTATTTCAGTGATCAGTGGAGCACTGAGAGCAGTGATGGGACAGGTATTGGCGCATACAGTCATACAGTACTCAAATGTTCAAGTGTTTGGTGTTTGAGTGCATAACTGTTTGATCACATTTTGATAGCAGTGGTGTCGACAGGCGAGCAATGGTTTACTTGAATGCTATTATCGGAGTTGTTGTCTGTGGGCGTTGTGTTCACACCATTCACACCACGAAAACCAAAGTCGGCATCTTTTAAGTGCGCCGATAACAGAGCAAAACACGCCAAATATGCATCTCCTTTGCCCCCGGGCTCATCACGGCCAACATCCCTGTGCACATCCCAACCAAACATCATAGCACTGCACTGTAGAGCAGGGGAGGTGTGCACCGCATATCTGTATTACCTAAAAATCTAACCAAGTATTTGATATCTGTTGGCAAAGATATACTTTTGGCAAACATTTGTTGACTACTGTAGCCATACGTGACAGTAACCACCATAAGAGTACCGAAAGCCTACAAAATATGAATACATTTGCAGTGTTTTGCTGTTCGGACGCGAACTCAATTAGAAAGAAGAGCTTTCTTACGGCAAATAGTGCTCAAAACGAGCCAATAATACATATAATTTCAATGGTAAGGGAATGAATGCCCGGAGCATAAAAACACTCAATGCATCACAAATAGACGGCAACTTAAATATAGTAATATTAATACAAACAAGACTTTAGCAAAATATTAGACAAAATGAATCAAAGAAAAAGCAAACGAATTCACATTATATATACGAATGTAATTCAAGACATTATAATGTAGTGAATAGTGTAGAGAATAATATGGGAATAATATGCGAGCGCATCATGAATGCCATGAATGCAAAGCAACTCCACATACAGAGTATAGACTCCCATATCGACTATCAGAATATCAGAACTCAATGTTTGACTTTTATGTGCTAACCATTGGGGCTATTATTCAGTATATCTCTTGATATTCAATTCAATACATAGGCTATTATAGCATGAATTAAATTAAGCAGAAGAGAGTGTATAGAAGTGTTCGCATCCGTGGCCTCTAAATCACATAATAATCATTAAGAGATGAGAGCGCACTCTAATCATATCAGTGCCCGGGGTGTCAATAATGTACACCAGAATATGTGTTGCGATCAAAAGCATCTCATTTCACATACAAAGGGATGAATTTGTTTGAAAGTTGTGCTCAAATTACAGGCCATCGCAGGCCTACTGAAAAGGAAATGGTGTAAAACATGGCTTAGCATAAGCTTATGGTATGACTTATAATTCCATTTGTCTAATGTTTTGCGGAAATTCGTGATAAGTCTATCTCTGTATCATTGAGTCTAACCTTTTAATTACATCAAACATTGTTACGTTCCGGACATCCATTAAATAATAATAAGCTATCAGTTACACAACACACCATACCATACAATATATCTGTATATTTTGTATTGTAGTCTTATTTAAATGTATTTTACAAAAATATTCTTGTATTTTATATCATTTAATGACATGTTTTACTATCCTTTCCAACTCTATTACCACAGTATTGTCAGTATAGGCCCATCGGCTCAACACTCATACTCGACAACGCTTCCATCAAAAGCACCTCAAATTGATTACTCGCTTATAAATAGACAATCAATTTGAACACAATTATAGAACTTCAATACATTGTGTGCACAGATTGTAAACATTTGGCTAATATTAACCAACATTTAATGTCATCCTATTATTCAATCCCTTTAGTACTTAAAAATCGTTTCATCAAAAAAATTACAATAAAATTTTGTTTATTAGTTATTATTAAACATATAATTTACTGAATATTGTAATTGATAATATTTACAATGTTTACAATGTACATTATATTAACCAATTTATTGCTCATATAAATCCAATAAATAACACCAATAATTGATTATCAATTTTCATAACTTATCTGCAAGTTTGTATGATTTCATAGTATTGCCCACAATAACAGGTATAATTTGGAACCTCTGGGTAAGCAATTCCTAATTGGCAACACATCCATGGAAAACATGTTTTCTAACTTCACGGACTTCTTGTGCTCATAAGAACCACAACATCTTTTATTGCAAAATCTTCTCTATAAGAAACACTCCATTGAAAGCATAGAAATACTCATATTTTGAATGCAAATCCATCAAAAATTATATATAAATCCATTAATAGATAATACATTTACTTAAATAAAAATATCTTTTCAATCATTAAAAACAAATAATATACTGTAGTTATACTAATTTGCTTTCAGGCAATTCAAACAATTTAAGCCTAATTTACTAATTATTAGACACTTATGGAATGGAAGTGATTGTGTGATAGTTTCTTCAAGTCTTAACAATACTAAACATAACCAATATTTAAAATAAATATTTAATATAATATTATTATAATATTAAATAAATAGAAATTTCATTTATTTTATACATTATTTAAAATACAGACTTAATTCAAAATGAGAGTAAATGGTTTGCGTGTGAAACCATGGATTGTCTGCTTCGATGGTCATTAGGATCTGATGCCATAGGCGTCAGGCATTCGTTCGACAAAGAATTGTCTGTCTTTGATATACATTATGGGAATTCCGGGTATTTTTCTGATGCGGCGTTTGAGCGCCCGATCGGCGGTTCCGATGATATAACACTTGTGTTGAGTGACGCGTTGGACGAGACAGTCGTCGGCATAAGTGCCCGAATGACTGCACGGAAGTCTTTCCATCTGTTCCTTCACTATACGTAACGCCAGTCTATACTTTGCGCCCAACTATTCATTCAACGCAAACAAAACACACCATTCATTACAATCACGTCAGCGACCGATGCGGTCAACCAAATGGCAAATACCTTCTGGAGTTCGGCGACAATGCAATCGGTGACCAAAGGTATGCATTTGGAGAGCAGACAGTCGGTCATGGATTGGGTGACGTCCAGCTTATTCTTGATCGCAAAGTTGATGAAATTCGTGTCACAGATCACCCGAAACGGCGGACCCAACGACTGGTTGTAGTTGAAGAACATAGCGGTCGACGACTGGGCCACCACTCGCTCCTCCACTCCCACAGTCTTCTTCCCTTTACTCGTCTTCGCCTTCTTGTGGTCATTCTTGTGGTCACTCTTGCGGTCATTCTTCGAGTTCTGGAGCCGCGAGTCTCTCAGAGACAAGAGTTTCGGTGTCTTTGGTTTCGTCTGTTTAGCCATCGATTCACTCAAACGTCACGTGTTTTCAGCGTTTTATCACAAAATGAATGAATGAATGCATTGAATGAATGCATTGAATGAATGCTTGTATTGCTCTGACATCTCGTGTCTAACAAACAAACTATTGATTTGATTCATGATTTCAATCAATTCTCGATATTATCCTAACTTATGGATCACTTCCCAAATCAAGACACAGCCCTTCGTTATATTTAAACCCTTTATATTTAAGAAGTAAACTCTTGTAATAAAAGCATAAATTATAGAAAGTCATAAGTAATGACCAGAAGTGATAATAAGTGATTTTAGTTTGGAGATGGTTAATATAGAGTACACTCTATTACTCGTCACAGTAATACTGTATCCATAATTCATAAAACAAACGCCTCCCACACTTCCCTATATATTGGATACCTCTCTACCCCATACAAACACTATGTAATCTAAACACTGATAGTGTTTGAAAGTGGGAAATATTAATTAAAATTTAAATAAGAACTGATAACTTTTTTTTATTACATTACGTTAGTATTCAAATATTGCTTATATTCTCATTCATATCAAAAACGCCTTTCAATTAATATACCAAACGATATATTCATTGATTAAAAATGTGATTATCTTTATATATATTTGTGATAAAGTGATTGGAGTGAAAGATAACACAGAAATATAAACTATATAATTGGTCTATTAATACAACTAATGGTTCTAATTATGAAATGAATTTAAATGATTAATTATAATATTAAAATAAAGTCAATTAACACTAAATTACACTTTAAATATCTACTTTACACAATACTGAAGTGAAATATAAATCACATTCATTGCATAAGAATTCTAATAATGTATTATTCAAATAGTAATCTCATACTTAAACTCAAACATTGTTTTAATAATTATAAATAACCAAATTATTTAACTTATTATGAATTTGCCTTTACTTACAATCACTTGAATTGAACTGTGAATAAGATTTACTATTTGTTATGAAATACACTTAAGATAACGAATAAATACTAAAAAAGAAGCATATTTTAAGAAATATATTATTGTGTCTAAAGAATATTCTTTATAGAAATCCCAGAATTTACTGCTGTCTCAATACATTTCAGGTATCGTATGTTCGCTGATTTGAATATAATTACTCTTAAGTATATCAATCTTATGCCTAATTGACACAATTATCATATAAATCAATGTTAACATTAATTGATGGAAATCTATCGACTATTTTATTAATAGGAAATGCAATTAAAGTTGTATTTCTTATTAATGTTACTAATGCTTCGACGACCAAAAGTTTCACAAATATTTTATTTTGTTGTAAAATACCATATTTTGAATACAGTTTAGTACATAACAAATTCATTAATTAAAAACTTAATGGCTGTAATTATATTGTTTACATCGTATAACTTTCAAATGGGAAAGTATTATAGATCCTATTAAAGCATTTACTTAAATATTTCAATAATATATCACATGATTTCAGAATTAATGTTTGTAATACTTAATTACCGTTACTTTGGTACTAGTTTTAGGGCTGATGTCGAGTTTGGTATATAAGTGAAACTTATGTCAAACCCTATATTATGACAATTTAAAGTATTGTTGTATCTCTCCATGTGAATCATTACTATTAATATACTGTATTTCTTGGGTCTATGACATTTGTTCAAAAAAATTTGCTTAAATTATAGAATAAACTTGCTAAACTTAACCTAACTTAACCAAACTAACCTAAACTAATTAATATTATATTAGTTAATAATATTATCTGTAATATTTACTAATTTAATGTATTAAATGAGGGCAAATTAAATGAAAATTTTTCGAGCAAATGCCTGCTTCCCGTATTTCTTGTGAAATACTAAAAATACATTAATATTTACATACAGTATTACATTTACATATTAACATTGATTTTGACACACATTGTTTAAATATTAGATTCCTTAGTTCTTAGCCCTTAGCATAAGAAAACAAATTTCATGTAAAATCTAAATAATTTTTAATTGCAGTTTAACCATAAAGATTAATAAATAAATTTATGGTAAATTTTGTTTCTCATTAATAGAGTATGCATAATATGTAAATGATTTAAATGTCTTTATTTCAATGTAACCTGAGTTACAATCAGAAAAGTATAATATAAGGCATTTGTTATGTATTGCACGTAAAATGTATTATTAATACAGTATTATTGTGTTACTTAAAGTCTTAGAAAGTTACAAATGAATTCTTAAAGAATGTGAACTTAATTTTCAGTTCATTTGTAGTAAATTTATTGATTATTTGATGTAAATTTCATTCATTAAAATAAAACTCAATATTCACAGCAATATTGGCATTCAATAAAAGGAAATTATTGTTTTTGTATAAAAACAATTGAAAATATTGTGGAAAAACTTTTAATTTAGTTTTTATGAGATTATAATCGCAATATTAAATGTTTTGTTGAGTAGAAAAATCAATGAAATAAATTGTTTCCCTGAATTAGAATTAAAACATTGCATAATATTTAAACCATCAAAGAATATGAATTAAATGTTGTGAAATATAATAATTGAAATCAATAATATGAATCATATTATATGATTTAGAAATTATTGAATAACATTTCATTTAAGTGTAAATCGATATATTATTGTTGT